ATCGCCGACACCGACACTATAGAACGCAACTCTGGAAACTACAAAATTTCAAAAACATGGCATACATGATCCTTAAGACCACCAACCCAACAACACGAGGAGTCCTCACTGATTTCATACGTCTACACCGTCCACATCATAGGCAGAGGTTGTTTTTGATAAGGACTGCCTCGCATGGGCCAGTAGGCCTTCTACAGTGTTCCTCCATTCTTATGTTCACACTTATATTCTTATGAGCTTCCCTCAGGCCACGTGCGTCACATCCTTCACTCTCCGCCTATATATATAATGTTCTTCTACCTCTGTATGTTAGAAGTGATCAAGGTCCCAGGACCGAAACGTTTTCTAATAAATATGTCATAGTGTTTGCTTACATGTCTTTCTAATCCAACTTGTCGGTATTTATTACCACGGTTTATACCAATTTATATATAATCTTACAAATTATAACTCATTTACAGCCCGTTGATAGATGACTTTGGGCGACGCTTCTCAAGACCCGCTCGTTTGCAGGGCGGCTGTGCAAGGCGATGAGCTGTCTTTCTAAGTTAAGTACAAACTCTTTAAACTTAGCTGGTAATGCCATTTCTCACCATAAGGATTTTTATTTTTTTATTAACACATCGGCCGTCTCCCACCTAGGCAGGATGGTCCAAAAAAGAAAAACTTTCACCATCATTCATTCCATCACTCTTGCCAGAGGTCCACTTACACTACATTTAAAACTGCAACATTAACACCCCTCTTTCAGAGCACAGACACTGTACTTCCCATTCTATTTTGTTCCAACCTCTCCATGTCCGAACCACCTCATAAAACCCCTCCTGAGCCCCTTTGGATAATAGTTTTTGTAAGACCACACCTTCTCCTAGAGATGCAGGCCTTAAATTAAGCAGATACAATCTAAGTACACCCAGTAATGCACAAATGGGAAGCAGTGATGGGAATTGCAAGTGTGAGAATCATGCAGCAGAGGGAGATAGGCCTAACAAGCCTAGTGAGGGAAGATAGAGAACACTAGATTATCCCCGCAGTAACATCACGCCTAGGTCAGGTCCATATAGACAATTCTTCCCAAACTAAAGTGTGTCAACTGGAGGTGAATTGCCAATGACAAAGAAGTTATTAACCTGCCAGGTGGGGAAACTGGCCTTCTCTAGAAAAGGGTAAATCAGTTGGGAAGTGTGTGAGTGAGGGGACATTTAGCTTAACAGAAACCTGACGGTGGCTCGTGGTCTGATACAAAAAGCTTTTGCTTCGCATGGTGAGGGTCGGGGTTCAATTCCCGGTGAAGGGGTAGAAACATTGGACGTGTTTCCTTTCACCGGTTGTCCATGTTCACCTATCAGTACTAATGGGTACCTGGGTGTTAGTCGACTGGTGTGGGTCGCATCCTGGGACAAAATTGACGTAATTTGCCCGAAATGCTCAAAATAACAAGCGGCTTTCTATATATATGTAGTAAAAAAAAAAAAAAAAAAAAAAAGTCATTGTTGTCCAGCCAGGACTGTATACCTTGTACATGTACTTGGAGAAATAAAGATAATATTATTATAAAGCTGCTAACAAACACCAGCTTCTGGAGGATGAGGAGAGCGTGAATATTACGAGGTGAGTGAACCGAGCATATTGAAAAAGTAAAGAAACGAATTCTGTTACGACAGTGTCAAAGGGAGTAAATGTAAGTGGAAAGATGGAAGTGGAAAGAGCGAGGGCTGCCAGCAGTCGTGCTATAATTTGTTTTTACCAATTACTCTAGAAAGGCCTCTTCAAGGGGGTTCCTTGCCGAGGCAAAGAGGATATTGACCTGAAGAATTGGACCCTTCGATCTTCTTCAACCAACCGAACTTAATTACCCCCCAATCCTCCCCTTCCGCCCCATCTTCCCCATCCCTCATAGCCATTTATCCTCCCTCTCCCCATACCTTTCCCTTTCCTGTTTTCAGCCTTTGGGGTCCTTCCCTCAAGCATTCTAGCTCCTAGGTTGGGGAGAAGGGTACTGTGGTTTATCTTATTCCATTGAGATCCTTGGTGGTAGTGTAGTTTGCCGTTGAATCTGGATAGTCTGGAGATCCCGATCCTTCTCCGGTCTACTGGGGAGGGGAGGGGATTCAGGTGTCTTTCAGGTGACGGATGCATCTCTGGAGGCTGCCTGTCGGATTCCAGGAGGTGGCAGCAGAAGGAGGTATGCTATAGAGGGTATCAGACCAACCTCTTTTCTGTACGCCTAGGTGGTTTGATGACTGTGAGGTTGCTATCCTGGATTGTTGGCAGGACCCTGTATCTAGTTCTAATATATTATGGATTATTCTTGTTCTTATTGGTACTCTAGTTTAACAAAAAATGAGAGACAGACTACAAACCATCCAGAACAAAATGGTTAGATTCCTCCAGGACCTGGGTCCAAGAGAGCTTGGAGACCAGGATGAATTACAACAAATGGATATACTGAATGTTAAATGATATGAAGTTAAATCTCGCTTCAAAATCTGCTCACAGTCTCCAGAATGTCCTGATTCCTAATTTATCAAGGTTGGGAATCAAAACCACTAAGATACTAGGGAAAGTGATCACAATTTTGTAGCGCCTACAGTAAAATGGCCAGGCTTCTGTCACCTTTAATTGGAGTGCAACGGATTTCCTGGACATATCAAAGCCTGTCCCAGCATAAGCCAGTTCGAAAAGAGAGGTAAGAGATACCTAATGAATGAAGCTACAGAAACGGAAGAGATTGATTTCTTATATTGTAAGCTGATCCTCTCTTTAATGTTCATGTAAATAGCTCAGCTTATTTTATTCCTATCTTATCTCCTTGCATTGTAACTGATTTCCAAACAGATGAGTTAATAGTGTTTTAACTTTTAAGGTTATAATCCTGATTTTTCACCACCAAATGAGAATACTAACTTTTCACCACCAGACAAGAATATTTTAATATCTAAAATAAGTGTTAAAGTCTCGGCATATATACAATGAGAGAAATAAACCTCTGTATATTGTGTATTCTTCTGAAGTCAGACTTCAACTCTCACCCAGGATAGATACTGATCTAAACTGTTTTTCCATGAGAGAGTAATTACACCATGACTTTAATTCCTCGAATTTATTTATTGATTTTGCCTTTGACAAACGTAAAACCAATCTTAAAAAATTAAAATGACCCAAACAATGATTAAAACGTATTTGGGTTATTTGCTGGGTATTCCCGGGTAGTGAGTGACCAGCCACATCAGCAGTCAGGAAAATACTCTCATCATCTCGGAAAATTGTGGTCCGTTTCTCTTCAGTATTTTACTTTCACCTTAAATTCTTGTCACAGTAATTCATTATTTGTTAAACTAAATAAACGGTATGTAAAATTTAGGATTTAATAGTTGGACCTTATGTATAACTGGTCAACATTCAGTATTATAGTACATAATTGACTCGGTTCACTTACCTCTTCGTCGAACTTTTAGGATCCCATTTTTAATTCTTTTTAGTATATGCTGCGTAAAATGTGTGTGTGTGTGTGTGTGTGTGAGTACTCACCTATTTGTACTCACCTGTTTATGGTTGCAGGGGTCAATTCACAGCTCTTGGCCCCTTATTCGCTAGTCGCTACTTGGCCCGCTCTCTCCCTACCCTAAGAACCTTATCGTACCTCATCTTAAAGCTATGTATGGAACTTGCCTTCACTACTTCACTCTCCAGGTTGTTCCACTTCCTCACAACACTAAGGCCGAAGAAGTACTTCCTGAAATCACCCATCTAATATTATCATATAATGTAATACAAAAACGCATATAGCAATATATTTTAATAAACAATATCGGAAAAATATTTCCTGAAATCATAACTACAATAAAATATTTGTATATTTAAGGCTAATAAAAATGTTGAAAACAGCTTTATACTATCATCAGAATATAAGTCGAGATCAAAAGGTCAAATACCTTTAGCACCAACACCAACTGCAGCAGCAGCAGCAGTACTAGTAACACCTGCATTGGAACCAACAAAACTATCAACTCAGTTATTAAACTGTGGCTCAGTGGTAGCAAGTTTGGTTCATAACAAATGTTTCAGGTTTTAATCCTGCGCGAGGTGGGACAAATGGCCAAATTACCTAACACCTGCTATTTCTGTTCACCTATAAGTAAATAGATATTTAGAAGTTAGATTGTTGATGTGGGTCGCATCGAGGAGAGGATCTAAGAATCCAGATGGAGATTTGTCACATTGCTCGAGTTCTTGAACCCGGAAATGACTTAAACTAGACCAAATACTAGTAGTACTAGCACTAATCACTAGTATCATTTGATGCATTAGCATCAGCAGCGCAAACATCATCTCGCATGAGCACTAATACATTTACTAATAATAGCATGACTAATTAACATAACTAGTAAGGACAATATTATACGCCACACTGCTAGTCCAAAGGGAAACTCGTATAATAATTTAACACTTGATTATACTGACCATTTTGTCTTGCTTTTTGAAACTACTGTACATTACACTTTAATCGACACCATGCCTAACCCTTCTAGGGTAGGGTAGGTGCCTGAGCCCGAGCCTTTAGCTCATAAGACTGTCATTCCCATTAGCCCCCTTGGGGCGGGGATGGCAGACCAGAGAGGTCTAGCTTGTGGCTAGGCCTGGGGACAGTTGGTCCCAAAGATGAGGGGGTACTTGTGCCTCCTCCCATGGGAGACTTAGGTCTCAGACACTCCCTAAAGAGGGAGCCAAGGCCGGGCCACCACTTGGACAAGGCCCGGGCCGGGAGAATACCGGCTGATCTTTAATAATAATTACACTTTATACACTTCAATTTGATACACCACACATTGATACTCTTTGATGCTAGTAAAGAGCTATTATTTATAAAAGAAATAACGAATCTAGGAGTCCATGGATAAATCTAATCTCTTTCAATTACCTAGGTGCTGTATGATCCCAACTGAGCATA